TGTGTGTGTGGGTCCCAGACCAACACCCACACCCTCAGTCACCCCCCTCCCTCACTCCTAGACTCACGTTTCAATTTGAAATCAAGTATTATTTTTATTTGATAAATTCAGACTGAAATTAAATAGCCCATAGTATGGTTTGATGAGGATGTTTCTTGGTCCAATAATCTTTAAATTCATCTTGAAAATTGTTATTATTTGATAGTTTAATTTGATCAAGAGTAAATAGTCCAGTTGTAGTAAAATCATTTAATTCATCAATTTCTCCCCAAATATAAATTGTTTTTCCTGAAGAAAACAATGTTGTAAAAAATTGTTTAATAAGTTGGAATGTTGTTTCATGAATAGGTGGTAAATGACAAACTTCAATGATCAATACATAAGAAATCGAAGTTGGTAATATGATTTGAATCTGAATAAGTGCGGGTTTGTTTGGACCTCGATAAATACCAACTGATTCTGTATCCAAAATAAAATTTGTTGAAGCTGCACAAGCTTCAATAAGATGAAGAAGTGTTAAATCAGTTGTTTGAAAATTTATAAAAAATGGTTGGAAATTTGATGGTGTAAATGTTGGATATGTTGATGCTAATTCATGTTCGTGTATTTTTTTTCGGAGTGCTGTTCGAAGATTTTGTCGTGGACGTCCTTTAATTGTTGATGGAATATTCTTTAATTGCCATTTAAGCTTTTCGTACTCTCGTTGTGATAACATGACTAGAATAGAAAGTTAAATTGTAATTATATTAAATAGCGATTCATTAAAAAAAATGAATCTAAGATGTGAAAAATTCGATTCTCAAGGGGAAAAGAATCAGTGAAAATAAGTGATATAATTTTTTCATAAATATAATAATTTCAGGACAAATAAAAATAATGATGAATTATATATATATATAATAGATGTAGTTATTTTATATCTCAATAGAATTGATGTACGAAAAAAGTTCTTCTCGATTCTCAGGGCCCATAAAGAGGATCTATGAAGATTGATTGAATGTTAAATACATTCAACAAATAAATTTCGTATCATAGAATAATTAATTGTATAAATTTAATCCGAATTAACAATTCCATTTAATGTTGAGATATTATTATGGTACGGATCTCATTGAAGAGGTCCTTAAAATCTAATAAATACGTTCAAATATTGGTAATAACACGTCTGATGTAACTTGACGATGTAAAGTTGGTTTCTTGACGTGTTGAAGAATGAATGTTTTTCGTGTCAATTGTTTGATAATTCTAAATGGTCCTTCATAACGAATATCGAATTTGTGACGGGTGTTGAGTGTTTTAACAAGAACTAAATCGCCAATATTATATGAGGGATCAGAACGATTAATATCATAATGTTGTTTGTATCGTGCTTGATTCCTTAGAATATTTAATTTGGCTTGTTCATTTAATTTTGACAAAAAATTTTTGAGTTTGACGGTATGTTCAGCATCATATGATAATGTGACGTTATCGGCTTGATAATCGAAGGGTAATGTTGGTAATCGTCCGTACATCATTTGGAATGGTATTTGTTTTGTAGTTGAATGAATTGTAGCATTATAATTAAATGTAACAAATGGTAATTGATCATCCCAATCAGTTTTCTTAAAATTTGATAATGCTGCAATTTTTGCGTCCATAGTTGAATTATATCTTTCAACTTGACCATTAGTTTGAGGATGGTATGGTGTTGAATACAAGTGTGTGATACCAATTTGTTTACATAATTCATTCATTAATGTTGATGTAAAATGTGTTCCATTGTCAGTAAGAAGACATCGAGGTGTTCCAAATTTTGCGATAACGTCTTCTTTAAGAAATCTAACAGCTGTTTGAGCTGTATTATCACGTACAGCTTTGGTAACAACGAATTTGGATAAAACATCGGTAAGAGATATGATATATTTATTGCCGTGTTGAGATATTGGTGTAATAGGTCCATGAAAATCCATAGCTACTAATTGCCATACTCCATCAGGTGGTTGTATTGGTTGTAAAGTACCCGGAGTTTTTTGTCGACGAGGATTAAATTGTGCACATGGGATACATGATTTGATATAATTATTAATATCCTTGTACATTGATGGCCAAAAATAACGTTGTTTAATTTTATGTATTGTTTTATTTCTTCCAAAGTGAGCACCATTGGCTGCTGTATCATGATATATTTGTAAAATTGTCCGTCGAAAATCACCTTGTGGTACATATGGAACTGGAGTTTTAGATCGACGCATTAAGATACGAGTCTATGGGCTTTTTTATTTCAAACTGAATTCTAAAATCAAAAAAACCGCACCAATTTCTTCCGAATCAAACTTTTCTCGTTTGATACTACGTAGTCTCACTAAAAACCCTTAGTCCCCCCTAGTCCTGCAAAGTCTCCCTTAGTCCCCCCCACAAAAAGCTTAGTTCCCGCTTAGTCCCTTGTGCAGGGGACTAAAGCCTATAGTACACAAAGCCACAAGCACACCCTCACCCTCACTCGCGCGCCCACACCCGCACCATGGGTGTGGGTGTGTGTGTGGGTCCCAGACCAACACCCACACCCTGAGTCACTCCCCCCCCTCACTCCTAGACTCACGTTTCAGTTTGAAA